TTGAAATACATTGAAGTTCAACTGTTATTAAGTTGGCTTACTGCCAACTATCTGATCAACAAGTTAATGGGCTAAAACTTGGCATGTGCAAATGCCACTACGATATAATTTTTCTCGATTGAATTGTTTGTTATTTAGTAGGTGCAGTAGTTAAAAAAAAAGTTTAATTTTATTTAAATTTTTCGATGCCGGCGTTCCAAACGCTTCACATGATTCAATGTTACGGCTTCAGATGTTTTAAATTCTAAATTCGCATCCAATCGAGTCTCTTACGTGTGATTATTTATTTTGACTATTTCTACTCATAAAGTCTTTTTAGTAAGTAATAATAGTACTTGAAATTTAATTTTACCATTCATTTACGTACAAGCTTTTTAATAGACAAGAAATATTTTTAGTATTATTTTTTAGCCCTTTTTGTCCATGATCAAGATTTATTAATGGTCCCTAAGCAATTACTTATTATAATACTCTGTGTGTTAATGGCGTTTTAATAATATATTCATATTATGTATTTATCTTTATTAATGAATTAAAACATATTTATGACAGTTCTTTTTTTTTTTTTCTCTTGATTGCACTAAGTTAGCGGTAGCCATTGTTGACGTTTGTAAATACGAGAAAAATAACGAAATTATATAAAATAAGTAGACTTTTTGACGTTTGACACACTTCGAGCATCGTATCTAGAATATTTTTTAATATTAGTTTTTAGCTAATTACCTATTATTTATTATTTTAATTTATATTGGGGGGATATTTATTTGTTTTCTCGTCTGGTTGGGTTTATAGATAAAAATTAAATATATTGCATATATAAAATAAATATTATGAATAATAAAACCGTTTAAAAACTTTTAAGTTAAACGGTTTTATTTTCTGTTTTTTTTTGTGCACTGAAAACTACAATATGGTATTGACATCTAAATTACATGTGTGTACCAAATTTCAGATTAATCTGACAACGGGAAGGTGCTTAAATTTCAATTTCTAATTTTGACCCAAATAAACAAATAAATTCCGTACGTGTCGAGCTAAATAAAACCGTTTAAAAATAAATATATATATATAAATATTGTATAATTATAATACAATATTAAATATTATATATAATACATATAGGACCCAACCAGACGGAAGCCCTCGGCAGGGGAGACCAAACGGCCGAGGGTTAGGGTGAAAGGGAGAAGAAACCGGCGGACGATGCGAGCGGTATCGAGGAGCACCGCTTTCTGCATTAGAGCTTGGAGCGTTCCGTCCCGGAGTCCCAGTCGCCTCAGATGTCCGATAATTTATATTATTATTAATTTGTATAACTATTACTATTAATTTATATTTATATAATACATGTAAATACTGTTAATTCAGCATGTAAAAATAAAGCCGAGATTTGATTAATACTTTGTTATTTCTGTCGCTAATAAAATTATAAAATGAAAAAATAGAAATCAAAAATGTATTTATTTAAATAGACGGTTGCGCAACCTTTATGAATCGTCAAATTTTACATCAAAAATTATGTATAAGGTTCGTAAGGTACCACCGGTTCGGAAAGCAGTTTCTGTTGAGAAGAGACCGGCAAGAAAGTCAACAGTTGCTCCTTTTCAAAAGTATCTGTTTACAACGTTAATTTTAGTATCGTCAGAAATTATAAAACTATAAATAGTCTAAAAATATTAAAGTCATTTCATATGAATTCAAAGAGTCTGGCAGTGGTTGGCATAATCTACGTCGCACAATTCAGCTGATGTACGTCGAGACATAACCGTAGATACCTTGTTGACACATTGCATTGCGTCACAAATAACTTGCTACAGAGTTACATCGTAGACATGAAAAGTTATTGTTGTTCGAATGGTTACGTTACTGAACGCTGTTATATCCTATCCTTTAAACGAGCAATTCTTGTATAAATATATATAAATATAATCGGATTCTCGGAAACGGCTCCAGCGATTTTCACGAAATTTTGTAAGTGCGTAGATTCGGGGGCGAAAAATTGATCTAGCTAGGTTTCATTTTTAGAATATGTCCTTCTATCCCTGTTTGCAGGGAATGAAAAATATCATTCGAATATGACAGTTAATTTCGCCGCAAAAAAAATTTATAATAGCCCGGTCGGTAGTCGGGCGGCCCCATTACTTTAATACACACTCTTTTTTTTTACTTCTTTTTCGATTCCAGATCATTGCCTTCTTGATTTTTTATTTTTTGTTGATCCAGATAATTATGTTATTTTTTTCCCTTTTTTTTTAAAGCTGTTTTTTTTTTTTTGTGAAAATCCACTTCATATTTTCTTATTATTAGATCGGTAAGATCGAATAATATTATGCATATTTCATTACTCAGTAATTTGTATCTAAATGTAATTTGCAAAATATATGATTTACCAAAAAAAAAAAAACACCTCCAGGTGTTTATTATATAAGTAGAAGTAAAAACTATATGTTCCTTTTATGCTTTATTTCATCATTCATATGACTCTACTTACATAATTCATCTTAAATGGCCAGGAAGTGAACAAAATAAATCAACAACCGCTTCGTAATTAATTGATTAACTTGCTCAATATCTATATTAACAAGCAATATATTATGTTAATACATGACACATGTGTATAACATTTTGTTCCCGGATGTCAATATATTTGACACTCGTATTCACAAACTTTGAAAGCTGTAATTTCGGGAACGGTTAATAACCTGATTCTCGTCTCTACTAATATTAGCTTTTGCTTTGACTTTACATCCTGGAGCGGATAGCAAAATTTATAGCTGTCATGTAACTACACCGAAACGTATACATATTCCGAGTTTGAACAGGCGTTATATTTTCGAAACGACAAAATGGCCGGGCTTACTTTAAAATAATTTCTGAAGCGATTGTTGATAATAGGAATTCGCACATTCACCTAATATTATGCACTTTGTGATACCATTACTATTACACAATTCAATAACGTATGATATTCGCAATATTAATAATCGTTCTGTTTTTAAAATATATCATCTGCTTTCTTATACATCTCTTGAATAATCATATCACATCCTTTAGCCTAACAAATATTTCTCTAATAGTCAGTGTATAGAGCTGCAGGAAGACTTTTAACACCAAAAAGACCATTGGGCTGTCAATTCAATTGATGGCCCAATGTTCCCTTGATAACCTCTATTAACATTTACAACTATATGCTTTCACAGCGTCACACTAATTATATCGAAAATATCTGTTAAAACATACAGACAATATTACGATTCACAAAATATTTTCTCACTATCGTATGTTTGATTACAAATTACGCGTTCGTTTTTTTTTTAAAACATTATCAGTTTAATTTGTTGACAATACCAAAAAGTATGAACAAAAAAGTAATAGAATGTTACAAAGAAATAAAACTAGTTCAAAATATCAAGAATATATATAAAAATAATGTAAATTAATTATCTGTAACAAGTTTAAGTAAAAGTTAGTAAGTACAAAAGTTGAAAATGCCTAAACAGTGCTAGATATTTTTATAAATAGGACAAACTTTTTCCATTTGCTTTTCGCGTTTGCTTATTTTATGGATCAATTGATAGTAATAGAGGGGCTACAAAAATATTTATGGAGTAATATCATAAATGCAACACAACCATCTTCACATTAGGTGTCCATTCATCTTTCTGATATATTATTCTATTCTTTGTACTTTCCAGAGGGAATCAGTACCCATACTTCAGATGTTATGTCCTAGTCTTCAGTAATGGAGTAAACTTTAATTCTGAATACGATTATTTGAACTTACATAAATGTATAAACATAAATTAACCATTCTTTGCTTAAAAATATAGACTTTTAAGAATACGTATATAACATATTTAAATATAACATATAAAAATATTAACAATGCTTATTAAAATATTTTTCACGGTGAAATAAAATTTAAAAATCATCTTCATTCATATACATAAATATATATCTTTCATATACTCTGTTAATCATAATTAACATAATAATTTAATAATAATAAAAATTTAAAGAAAAACTTCATTAATATAATTTACCTTATCTGCTTATAATTTTGACACGATAAACATTTATTATATTAAATTTTCGTGTATATATATAGACAACATTGAAAGCGGTGTAAGTGGCGTATAAACAACAATCGGCATCTTCTAATTAACATTAAAAAAAGAAGAGAAATATGCGTGACGTGACTATATCTGGGGCATACGAGATAAGGGTACATTATTGCGATATAATTCCTAATACCTTGTTGAGGGAAAGAGGATAAGTTCAAAGTACACGACTTAAAACATATTAGCACAATCTATCAAACTGCGTTATATATTTTTATATCAATGAAAAAGTTCACATTAAAGGGGAATATTAGTAAAAAAATTCTCTTTTCTGTTACAAGATTTCTCACAATCCTTTAAAAAAAAACTAATAATTTGCAATGTAACTTTGGCATATTGTGTAGCTTGTGTCTTTTGTATACTGTTTAAAAAAGTAAAAAAAAAATATTGTGTATCCATCAGATCCAATAGGATAAAAACACATTCATTCATAAACTCGTGTGTTTAATTTTTAGGTTTTAATAAATAATAATAATCTCTTGACCCTGTCTACAGAGGATATAGTCACATAATTGACTTGCAGAAGCTCAGAAGAAATGTAAAAGGTTATATAATATTGCAATTTTCTTCGAGACCACAATAATTTACAAGTACTGATAAAATATAGCAATAGCAAATGCGTTTCTTCGTAATATTGACAGGTGTACATTCAAAGTAAACCCTAGAGCCTTAAAATTTATAACAAACAAAAATAACTGTCTGAAGTTAGGTCACCCTTGTGACAAAAACGAAAACGTCCCCTTCGAAAAACGTTCTCTTAGCTATTGCTGTAAACACGAGGCGACTAATATAGGCTTATTATCATTTTATTATTTTAAAACGCGGAAACTACACGGCTGTTTCTATGTTAAAGAGATCCTGCAAAGATGTGAACTATTAATTCAACCGTTGACGAAGCTCATGAAGGAGGAATCCATAGCCGAAGATCAAAATTGGGTGTGGGCGCGGATACGTTGCAGTTGAGTTAGCCTGGCTAGTCTCGGTGTGAGGTCTTTTAATGCTCAGCTCGTTCATTTCAACTGTGGGAGGAACACTTTTATTTAGTTCTCTAAACTTTCACCTTTTCATGTAAGAATCTGTAATCACTAGTTTATGTGTATTTGAAAAATGATCAATCTCTCTCGAAAAACTACCGATTTACTCGTACATTCGGTATGTACACGCCTCTGCGAATAACGTAACAAAGAAATTATACGTCACACATAGGTATTACCAAAAAATGGTTTAAAACGTATTATCATTATATTAAATGAAACTAGTTTACGGTTTGGCGTGACCATGAATGCTGGAAAGGGTTCGAAACGTCGAGAACTACAAAATCAAAATAAAAAAACGCGATAAAATCCGTAAACTAGTTTCATTAATATGTATGATATTCGCGAAAGATCAAGAAGTCAATATATTATCATCATGAAATCAGTATTTTAACTAGATACAAACAGCGGCCGTCGCTAACTATATAAAAGAAAAACAATATGCAAAACAACGATACATCACTTTCGGTATGAAAGAATCGTCAACGATCAGACGATCAAAATTATCGTTGAAAAGTGTAAGGATTATATTACCTGAGACTGTTTGCTTTTTGACATCGGCATAACGTTCACCTGGACCAACCTCATCGGGAATGGTCGCTGTGCAGGTTAGCTGTAGCCTCCCGTGTGCTGGCGTCCTTAACTCTGCTATGGAAACCCATAGCGATATCGGAATAACTTGTGGCTCCCTTGGCTTCTCACGAATCTATAGAAGAATTTTCAAAGCTCGATACATTAATGTACGGTTTTACATAATGAAAACATTTTTTATGTGAGAAGGTGGAAAGCGAGCTGGCGGTTCACCTGGTGTTAAGTAATAACCGCCGCCCATGAACATTTGTAACACCCATAGTGTAGCAGATACGTTGCCACCTTTTTATATAGCGGGCCCCGCCCCGACAACCTCAGTCACCAGACGAAACGCAGAAGTGTAATATATCCACTTCACACCGATCTTCTTTGAGGTCATGGTACTCACGCATTCACTCACGGTCCTGCTCATTCATAGTGCCACGTAACACTCTTCACTGTTATCGTGGAGTGTTGTTTACTATTATGGGCCGCTAAGCCGTGACAAACTTACGAGTATTTTCTTCGTTACCCATGTTCGGTTGTTTCCAAATTCCAATTAAAATTATATTGGTGACGCTGTTAGTTTTTAACAGTACATTGAATTTTAATGTAAACCCTTGATGGATTGATTGATTGTTGCTGGATTGTTTCGACTATCGATGTTGAGCACATACAAAAACTTTTATGATTCAAGGCAGAATCTTTTGGCAACGAACACTTTATACGCCTAAACACGGTTCGAGGGCATTCTAAACTTTTTGAACATACTCTTAAAGTGGAATTCATGTTCAAGACGCATGCATATAGACGATGACAGTCTTTGGAATAGGATAGTGTTCTATTTTTAAAAAGTTTTGAAAAGTCCTTTGAGTTTTTTCTTAAAACATGGACGGTATTTTACACAAAAATGTATTTTTGTTAAAGAATGTTTTGTGTTCGACTCTTAGTTTATATCCTATACGTTGAAATGTCAAATGACTTGCATACAATTATAAATTACTTAGTATAATTTATAGTAAAACAAATACTACTAGTTATAATTTCGCATTAATGCTAATTGACTAACCTTTTTCATTTCTTCACTTTGTCCTTCTTTCAGAGTGCATTTACTGTGTTTTGTCGTATTTGGCGTTATAGTTGTTGTCTCGCTAACGAGGGCCCAATATTTGGCCGTGTAGTTGAATTCCGGAGCAATGTATCGATGGTGATACTTCCGGTTCTTATAACCACCCCCTCCTTTAGTTCTTGTTGAACTGGACACTCGATAAGAGAAATACTTAATAGATTCTTCTGGTACCTGAAAAAGTTCTTTAAATTTGATAATCAACTTAAAAATGTAGATTTATTTAAACTGTTTTTACAACTGTTTAAAAACCATTAATTTTTAACGGTATATAAGGTTTTTAAATTATTTAATCCAAATATGAATAAGTACAAGCTGTGTAAGTATTCGTCTCAATTAACTGATATTAACATTTACTGTGTTTTGCTATACTTTGACAATTTAAATAACAACGACACGTTATGCTGAAAAATTAATGAAGAAAGGTGATGAAAAAAGCGAGTATAAGATTCAAAATTTATTTTGAAACCCAAAATGTAGTTCACAAGAAAAAATTCTCTCGCTATCATAAGACACATTTTCGTAAACATGCATTATGATCAGTGTTTTTCCTGCTCGAAAATGTTTATATCAATCGATGGTAATTTCATCACCGTCTTAGCTTTTGCATAAGATGTTAAAAGAACAAACTTACGGCATAGGAAATGGAACGTAATCTAGGGTTTCGTGGATTAATAATCGACACGTTAAATTTCCTTGAATATAGACACAAACGTAAATATGTTTAAAGAGATAGTGTTACCAGAGGCGTGCACAGAAAATGTTGTTCGAAAGTCTTCGAAGTGAAGTAAATTCTAAAATCCTTGAAAGCATTAAAGTAATACCGTCATGCCAGCACTACCATAATTGCAAATTTATCGATCCGGTGTCTACGTTTTGCATGGCTAAGCACCATTGGTTTTCTTTATATTTAGCCCGAGAAAATTCTATTCTAAGCTTGACGTTATAATGATGAAAAGTATGTTTAAGTATGTTTATCAGTTTTCTAGTGCCCATAGTACAAGCTTTGCTTAGTTTGGGACTAGAAAATGTTGTGTACAAATGTGTCCTAAAAAAATTATTTAGTATTTATTTATTTATAATCGATGCATTTTTAAATATAACCCTCTTGAATTTTAATGCAAAGATTACATAACGATGGACTGTTGGTAATTCCATTTTATTTTCACTTGATTCTGTGATATTTGAAGTAAAGTATCAGCCTATACATGTTTCACTGCTGGGCAAAGGCCTCCTCTGTATAGAGTTAGAGGTATCAGGGCTTTGTCCACCACGCGGCCCCACTGCGGATTGGCGGATTTAACATATCTTCGAAATATTTTTTTTTGTTTTTATTTCGAAAATGTTTAGGTTTCCTCACGATGTTTTCCTTCACCGCTAAGTCCGTGATAATTCAGCACTTCAAATTAACAATTTCATTGGTGCTGGCACCGGGGATCGAACTCAGGTTGCTCGAGGATATTAAATTAAAGGCGAGCGCCCGGACACTGAGCTATCACGGCTATATTTTTGTGTGTACAACTAAAAGCTAAATCGAAAATTGATTTAACATTATGCATATTTACCTAAATTTTTTTAATGTAAAATGGTCGAATAATAGTCACAGAGATAGTTAATAAACAGCAGTGTTCTCATTAAAACATGTTTATTTATTTTTACCAAAAACTTGAACTTAAGTATAAAATTAACTCGTGTAAAATACTTATACTGGAAATCTCCCATGGGATAAAGTTTATACAACCAAATACTATAAAACGTTCAGAATTAATCAGTTGCTAAAATAAAAAAAAATGTAAAGGAACGTATATGTGTAAAGGCTGTTAGTGTTTATTTAAATGATAACACACTCTGGAAATAAAATAATCATCCGGACTCTTTCAAGTGAACATTAATATATTGTGAATATGTTTCTACGCCAAATAATGAGAAATAAAAACTATCCCGCTGAGTTTTATTCGACTGAAACTCAGCTTCTTAGGTCAGTGGCTTTTCCGAACCGAAAATAGTATTTTGACAATCAGTAAGTGTAACACTTCCACATTGAATAAAGATGGTAGCATTTGATTTTGAATTTGAATAGTCAAAAAACATACCTTCTCATTGTCGATGTACCAAGTCAGCCGAGGGGCTGGGGCTGCGGGGGCGCTGGTGCAGTTGGCACGCAACAAACCCTCGACCACCACATCCGGTTTGCCGAATGTTATAATTGGCGGGTGCTTTTGGGGGTCTGATAATAATTAGTATATTCATATATCCATCAATTTCTTTTAACCTACAGTGTCCAATGATAGTATCAAATGCTTGCAATTTGCAACGGAAAATTTCATTTCAGTGCTTCTTCAAAGTAACGAAGTCTCAATGAAATTAAAAAAAATGTTGCGAACTTCTGTAGTGGCTTTTAATGACGTAATTATGACAGAAATTTGTCCAGGAAAAATGCCTCGGCTTCGAATAAAAGAGGCATTATGCAGCCGTATGTTTACAGCATACTTTCTTTGATATCAAATGTAAAAATTAAAGAAAAAGGCATTTTATTTGCGATATTTCACATAGTAGTTATATGGAAATAAACTAATAACATAGAACAAATTATCGAATTGAAGAAATATCAAATGAAAAATATTCCAATGGCATTACTTATACTTACAAACGACAGTCAACTGATGAGGCGGGGAGGCCGCCGTGAAGATTGGCGTCTCCAGAGACACCTCACACCAATAAAGGCCTGAGGCCAAAGGGTCTAGATTCTCGATCGTAATAGAATTTTCCGTCACAAGAGACATCTGTAACAAAGACGATGGTACTGCGTGCTTCTTTTATTTCAATATCAAAATGTTTCTTGTATAAATTCCTTAAGAAAGTTGTTGTATATATTTGTACCTTACTGGAAAGAGCTCACCAGTGAAGCGTAAAAAGAAATGTACATAGATACAGCTAAAAATGGGCACTCACATTAAGTTTCCCGCCAGGGAACGTGTAATTCGTAAATGGCGGTACCCGCTCGCGTACATATTGAAGCAGTTTTGCCCCGGACCTCAGGAATTCCACTTTGTAGAGTAGTTGTGGTGGTACCTGGTACGTAGGTAAAAGCGAAAGTTATTTAGGGTACCGATATTCATGTTTTCTTTTTGTATTTTCTGATATTTTTCCACATTCTCTAGCTGATTTAAGTGATATAAAGCCGTCAAGTGCTTTTTATAAGCTACATAACATACACAAAATTAAAACTTCATTGTCGATGACGACCATTTCGCTCCTAAAAACGTCCATAAAATTCATATTTTCGACGCGTCTCAATCAATTGAAACTGTAGTTAACAGTTTGTTAAAGCTCATGTGATTGATACAAAAATTATATTTTTATAATACAAATAATACACTTATCGGCAGGTTTCAGCGTAACAAAAAAAAATCCTCAAAATCTGTACGCTACCTTTAACTGTAAATCTTTTTTTTTATGTGAAAAAGTGGCAAACGAGCTGGCAGTTCACCTGATGTTAAGTGATAACCGCCGACCATAGACATTTGCAACACCCGTAGGGTTGCAGAAGCGTTGGCACCTTCAAATAAAGTAGGCCCCGGCTACCTCACTCACCAGACGAAACGCAGAAGTGTAACACTTCTACTTTACGCCGGTCTCTTGCAACGTATTGGTACTTACCCGGACGGAGCTGGCCATTCGTGCAACAGTGAACAGTTGCGTGGCCGAACCACAGTTAAACTATAAATCTATATCTATAATTCTAAATTTACAACAAACAAGACAAAATGTTATTTGTTTTTTTTTTTTATTTGGTCCTAGCAGCCAAGTATTCCGTATTACGCATAAACACCTGATGAAGGCAGCGCAGTGTAGCCGAACCCCCACGCGCCACCCAACTAGGTGCAGTCAGACGAACGTCAACATCTGTCGCTTGTCCGCTTCCTGAAAACATTTCGCGTGCTGAATATGTTGCAGAAGGCTTTCAAGTACCTCGTAATTTAAATATACATATATCATATACACATATACCTTACCATCTATATTCAGACACAGATGACTCCGTGGCGCAGTTACCGAATTGTTGGCTTCGGTGCCAGGGTAGTGGGTTCGATTCCCACACAAGACAACTATTTGTATACATACACAGACGATTGTTTCTGATCTGGGTTTTTATCGATTTGAAATTTATGTATATAAAACGTCCTTATAATAGGATAATGTTATGCTACAGTAAGGGTGCAATGATATCGAAGGGAAGACTGCAACAGATTTTTCTAGGTCAGGTCTAGGACGTTTCTACCAAACCACGTCCACAAAAAACATACAATACTATCTATGTCATACAAAATTCTTATTACCACAACAACTATATAAAATGATTGACAATGGGCGGACTTTGCCATAATAATTAAATAGCTGTGCAAACAACAGCAAAGGTGTAAAATTATTTATTTGTTTTTTTTTAATAGAAATTATATCTAACTGTGATAGGCTGACGCAACCAATTGGGCTGTCGTATGAATGGGCAGGTCCTTCTGGGTAAATACCACGACCTCACAGAAGACTGGCTTGAAATAGGAGTGTTATTCTTCTGCGTTTTGACTGGTGAGAGAGGTAGCCGGTGCCCATTTTATGAAAAGGTGGCAACGCAACTGCAACCCTACGGGTGTTGCTAATGGCCATGAGCGGCGGTTATCACTAAACATCAGGTGAACCGCAAACTCGCTTGCCATCTTCTCACATTAAAAAACAATTCAGGTTAAATGAATGACATGTATTAGAATAATTAGTCACGCCAGTGGTTGATCAAGAAAAGGAAAGTTAATAAAATTGAAATGTCAATGTGATGTTTAGTTATGCGGGCATTCAGTAATGAAGGAAACGTATGGATGTTCTGCCAGGGGGAGTAAACAGAAATGATACTAAAGGTCCAGGGAAACAGGCGGATATGTTTGTTATACGGGGGATGACGTCATCCGGGGTGTGCGTCCGGGACGTGTCAGCAGCTCTGAACAATGACGTAAGCAAAGGTAAAAAGGTGACATCACTGACGGCTAACAACGCACTTTAGAAGCAGAAGCTGCAACGTTTTAATTTGAAAGAAAACTGAAGTACAATGTTGATTCAAAGCATATAGAACTCGACTTCTTAGCCACTGATATAGCTTTAACTCAGTTATTAGCTATGTATGTAATGTTCGTTAAAAAGTGTTAGGAAATTAAATATCTCAATACACATATTAAGTTTAACTTCTACTTTATATATTTGATATGATGCTATCGTAGAAAATTTCAATTTGACGTAGTTCTTAAAATTAAATAGAAAATAAAAAAAATTGAAAACAGCAATATTCTCATAAAGCTGTCACTAAATTTACATTGAAAATTTACTTTACGAATCGAAGATCTTAACCAATTAAACATTTCAGAACAGACGCAGGAGTAGCAAACTTCATATTGAACACAGCAGTAGGTAGCGTCAATGATTAAGGATTTTCATGCAATATTCACAGAGATTAGATTACTCACCTTGCATTGTCAAATGTACCAGATATATAAAGATCACGCAATATGACCATACCATCCAGTGTGGTACCATCGCCACGAATATATTTATCTACACCATCATTGGGAAAACATGTCCTAATATCAACCAGTATCTGTATATAATTTTCCGCACTACTTGCCAGAGTTCATAAACAGGATTCACTGTAACAGAATACTTCGAGTGAAACGCTAGAAATGTTAGCAATAGCATAAGTTGTTATAGTTTGGTTTATATTTTACGAAAATCACTTTATCTTTAAGGTTTATACGTATAATACATTGCACCCGTGCGAAGCCGGGACGGGTCGCTAGTTAATAATAAAGACACCCTATCTGTCAACTTGGCATTTATGCCATAATATTTACGAAGACATGTCGGGTACTTCAAGGTTATATCCACCTACAAGTCGTTTAGTTAATTGTTTTCATTATTTTTTGTCTTTATCAAAATAGGTAACAAAGAAACATTGGCATTAAAGTTGGTAGTTCGCAATAGCTCGAGGTAGACGATTGATTTATTGTGAAGCGCCTATTGTTCCGTTGTTATTGCATCTGTTAGACTACAATGGAGTGTTAACATCTATCTCGGTATCTTTCACTATTCCAGAGTGGTGAAATATATTTCTACATAATTATATCAAAGGCAATACAATGTATTTTATGAATGTAGGTAAATGCTATATTATAAAATACTTCATTCATCACATGGATTATTTGATAAAATTTAAAATGTCAAGACAATGTTTGTTAAAAATAAGGATGTTAGATGTTTTCAGTTTTCTTAAAGAAATCAAGGATAAAGTATGAATATTTTTATAATTTGGACGACACGACTGGTGCAAACCTGTCTTTCGAATTAGAGGATGGGTTCGATATACACTATTACAAATTTTAAAAAATTGTGCAATTAGCAGTGTTTTTCAAATGTATAAGCATTTATATCGTCAATATCTGTTTATTTACAACAACAGTGTATTTTTTTTTTCAATTACCTGGTACCCTACAGTTAGTTTGTATTCACATAACTTTGTGTAAAAAATATGACCTGAAATATTCGCTGACCCTTTCCTATTTTTTTATAATTAAATTACAAATCACCACAAAGAACTGTAAATTCTTCCCATTACAAAAAATATGTTCAAAGTTGTCATCATAAAAATGTACAGACTCTAGAAAAACTTTAAAGAACAATACTTAAAACTTGCTCAAGTCATAAAGAATGTACGTATATTGTATATGTAAAAATTTATACAAAGTTTAGGTGCAATAGAAAAATTTGGTAGAAAATGACATGAGACCGATTAAATTTCAAATCAAAAGATAAGATAAAACTTCAATTTAGAAATTTATATTAACTTAACTTTGAGTACATTCGTAAATAAAATAGATTAAATATTTTCAGTCAATAGTTCAGAAAAATTAACGCAATAAAACATCAAGACAACATTTTTTTTACGATTCTTACATGATATAACATAAACAGACTTCGTTTCCAGTTAAATTCTGAGTTGAGGAAAATCGTAAATAATTTCATTCCTAGCGAGAAGTCTCCAATTCCAAAGATGCTAAGTTGGTACCCATTTTGCATATGTTTTTAATTTTCTTTCAAGTGAGAAAGTGGAAAACGAGTCGGTTGTTTAGTGATGACCGCCGCCCATTGAATTTTGCAACACCAGTTGGGTTGCAGATGCGTGGCCTTATAATAAATTGGGCTCCGTCAACCTAGGTGACCAGACCATACGCAGAAATGTCACACATCATCTTCACGTCGGTTTTCTGTGTCCATTCTGATCTGGTCTGACCTGTCCATGAATCCACGAATGTGCAACAGTGAAGCCTGTTGCTCGGGTGTAATATAATTATTAATTTGTAATTTTTCACAATGCGTGAAATTCTCGGCTTCTTATCTTAAAGGCTAGGTTATTTGAATGCGTAGTCCCAACGGCGCTGATTAATAAAATGCAAAATTTTAAATTTGAAGCGTGTAATCATTTGATTTTTCACATATACAGATGATAGAAGCTGAAGCAGAAATCAAAAAAAAAATCTTTAAACTTATTAAATTAATTAAACTTAAACAGTTAAATGTATCCATTAGAGGCATTAAATTTTACTGAAACAATACAAAAGCCATAAATAAAAGAAATTTACACATAGATGATTTCTTGGCGATTCGTCATAAAACTCTCTTTACAATCACTCAATAACTAACTGAAAAGCAATCCCAACTTCATCCGACGATCGTGAACACTCCGGTGTCAATTGTTAAAGTTCACCATTCAAGGAGTATAATTGACTCTAAATGCATTAAAAGTTCGACGACGATCCCACAGTAGTGCTAACGGGTGAGGCGACCTGTTAGTTCAAGAGTAATCGTTAGGAGCACCGAGCACAGATGCAAGTTCCCCAAATGTTCGCAATGAATCAATAATATTACGTAAAACACCCGTTCAGCCAACGGCTCGAGTATGCGCTGCATTTTAGATTTATCGACGCCAATATTTTTAATATCGGCCCATATTTCCTTCCCGAATGCGTCTAGGTCATCTCATATTGCAACGCTTCTTGTTCTATACAACATTCTTATTTCGCTGAGAAATAAAGTTTGACAGCCCGTGTCCGTCAGTTATAGACGCATTCGTGCATTTTCGAGTTTTATGAGAATTTCATGATTTCAAACAGAATAAAAGAGAACGTTTCTTGACTGTTTTGTTATTTTCAATGTATGTATTTATATTATGTAATACATAATATGTATGTGTAGTACATAACATGGGGAAGAAAAGTATTCTTTGTGTTCAATGGCAATGCAATCCTTTTCCCACCACAAAGAGAATTGAATATGAAGAAATGATTTTATTCTTTCTTTGATGAAAAAAAAAAATATTATAATTTTTTTATGTGAAAAAGCGGCAAACGAGCTGGCGGTTCACCTGATGTTAAGTGATAACCGCCGCCCATTGACATTTGCAACACTAGTAGGGTTGCAGATGTGTTGCCACCGTTTAATAAAGTGGGCCACGGCTACCTCACTCAACAGACGAAACGAAGAAGATACTTTCACTTCACGCCGGTCTTCTGTGAGGTCGTGGTACTGACACGGCCGGACCTGCCCATTTGTGCAACAGCGAGGATTGTTGCGTGGTCTATCATATTTTTATCGTATCAGATATACTGTGGGTTCCACAGTATAATATCTGGTACGATACAAATATGGACTAATAACTACACGGTCATCGATTTATTGTAAAGTAATCAAGAGGTTTATTTTTCCTCTATAAACGCAATTACTATTCTGACCTGATAAAATACGCCGTAGCTAAAATATTGCAAGAAATGTTATACCTTAAGGAACATTATTAGATACCCTATCACAGTTAAGGATAGAGTTAAATATCACGGAAGGAAACGTTATTCACCACAAGTATTTTGTTTTTTGGCCCCTAATGACCTTAAAACGTTATACTTTGTGTTTAGTGATAAGTATTAATTAAATATTTATGCAATATAATTATCAGGATGTTAGTATTGATCCACTACTTACGAAATATTATTTAAAAATGGTCTTTTTTATGATCTTTGTAATGAAACAAAGCAAAATATTTGAATAATTAAAAATTTTATCATTTTTCTACTGTTTTTAAATTATAAGTACCTCTTTTAACAAATAATGTGTCTATTAAACTGTTTAAGAAAATAATGAAGGAACATTAATTTCGAACACTAAGCTGGTCGAGGTGATTTCAAACACCGAACTTAAGTCACTCTGACAGGAAAAGCGGGGAAAAACCCCTGTAAGTCCTTGTTCCGCCAACCGACAGCTAAGTTATAATAGCTTAAAAAGATTTCATGGATTTTGGCCGTGATTCAATTATTTTGACGTCGTCTCATTTGACTGACTAAACTCTTAATGTAATCACAATTATCATTTTATTTTATTTTATATCAAAAGTTGTGAGCTAGTTGACAAAAACTTTTTAATTCTTTGATTATATAATTGATTTATTGGACCTTTTCATTCAAACCTGTTGACCAATTAAATCATTGGTAAGATGAACAATAAACTTTTTACTAGCTTTATTCAATGAATAATTGTTGATTACCCTCTGCATCTGCTTAACACATTTACAGCCAGATTAAGCAAAAACTTCGAAAAATTCATCGATACACGTAACTGTAATTTGGTATTTAACCAAAGATAGTCTAGTCAGGTAATTGGAACTTAATTCATATTTGAAGGAACGTCGCTAAGTTTTTTGAGACGATAATGAGAAAGCTGGCTCCGATTAAAAATAAAGCCAAACTATCACCTTAATCTTATAAAATGCTTTATGTTATACATTCTATATACATACATATATCGTATTGTACCTCACTGACAAAGGATTACCAGAATCCCTCTTGCGCAGATCATGCGCACAGCACGCTAGGCGATCGTCCCTACTAGCCGTTAATTTTAAAAGATTGTATCAGCTCTACTAACGTAGAACTAATTTCTTACTTCACCTTTAAACTCTATACGTTCTACAATCTTAAAGCGCGGAATAAAAATATTGAAAGTTTAGAAAACTTTTAACGAAAAGATTGAAGATAATTTGTTGATTATAATTATTAGATTGGAAAATCAATCGTATACTTACGTAACACTGTCTCCAGTGAATTCGGCCTTTCGCGGTCTCATCGATTGGGGCCTACTCAGTATCGGGCATCACCTGTGGCGTCGGAGTGTTCCTTCATTCCACGGGACACAGGCAAGCGTGTGCCGCGGTCGCCCTCGCTACACTGACTGCCGCGCCCCGCCCTCATCGACCGCCCCCGCCCCCCGGCCCCGAAGTGCTACTTCGAAGCGCCTTACCACTTCGCCCCAATCCGCTTCACTTCGCCCCGCTTAAACGGTGCCGTTCTTTATTAATAACAACGGACTGGATTGATAACTCGCGCTTTTGTCGACCGCCGTCCAACGTTCTCGTACGCTTTTGTTGTTTTTAA